TCACTCAGGACCCGCAGAGGGAGGGGGCCAGCGGAAGGCCTGGGCCTCACAGCCCTGCCGGCCGTCTCCCGTGCATGGCTCTGTGTGACAGTCACGCTCTAACACGGATCACTGACGCCTTTCACCCCCTGCCCAACTGCCCGGATACAAAGTCCCGGAAGACCGGTGAGCCCCAGGGGGCCCTGCTGCTTCCCTGAGCCACTGCCTCACTGCTTTGTGACCTATGCCACTGGAAGTCCTTTCTACTGTCTGACCTGAGTCCCTCACCCTGTAATCTGAGTTTAGTCTGGCCCAGGGGGAAACAGCTTCTGGTTTCTCACCCCGACTCAGCTTCAGTGGGACCCCCAAAATCTCGTTGGGGGCAGCTTTTATCCCTCCCTGGGCCTGGGTTTCCTCGTTGTGCCTCCCCCAGAGGACGGGGCAGGAAGGATGGAGCAGAGTCACAGGACAGAGGCCTCAACCAAGAGGGGCCTGGGGAGGGGCTGGATCTTCTCCCTGTGCACCCAGCAGGGACCTGAGCCAGGACAAGCCTCTCCCCAGTGCCCATGTGCACACCGTACACCAAGGGTGCGCAGTCGACCTGCCTACCCACATCCAGGCGTGTGCCACGGCATTTGCACACATGCCTCCAACACTCAAGCACAGACGTGGGCACATTTCCATGAATTTTCAAACTCATACACAGACACACCAGCAAAAGCAGACACTCAAACCTACCTATCCACACAATCACACGTGCACGCGTGCATCGTGCAGGTGACACAGACTCCCACTCCTGCATTCATTTAACACATATTTGTTGAGCGGCACTGTGTTGGGCACCGTCAGGGGCCAGAGACACAGCAGCAGATGAGAGAAAATCTGGGTCCTCATGGGCCTTTGAGTTTACAGACACACACACATGCTTAGGGTTGTACACACACGTACAGACGTGGATCCATGAGCACATGCTCATGCAAAGACACACGGGACAGCCCGGCGGCTCGTCTCTTACCATAGCTCAGTGCTGCCTCGTTGAGTCTGACCACGGTGCCCGGCATGGAGGCACCGACCACGGGCAGCAGCAGCGCCAAGAGCAGGCCCAGCCTGCACGCCTGAGCCATGGTGGTCCTGGCCGCTGCCCCCCAAGATCTGTGGGCTGCGATGGGGACAAGCATCAGGGGGTTTGTCCAGAATGGACCCCCCAGGGGCTGCTCAAACTCTACCCCAGTCCTGAGGTCACAAGCCCTGAGTGGTGACCCCAGCCCTGCCTGAGGCCCCACCAGCAGTTTCCGTGTCTTCCAGGCCTGCTTCATACGGAGCCACGGGGGATCTGGTCTGGAAAGGGCCACAAGGCCCAGAGAAGGCATGGCCTTGCCTAAGGCTACATGGCAAACTAGGGCTGGGTGCAAGACTCAAGCCATGCCAGAGGAGGATGCCGAGACTCCCGGATGGGGAGACCAAGGGCAGCTCCCTATCCCACAGAGAGAGCCCGGACCCACCACCCCGAGGCCCAGGGCTGTGTCACCTAACGCCAGGAGTCCAGCCCAGTGTGACAGCCCAGCTGGTATCCAGCTGTCCAAACCCAGCCAGGGGAAGACCCGGGGTGGCTCCTGGCCTCATCTCATCCTGCGCGAGGTAAGAAATGTCCTGAAAACAGGCATCCCCCTTAGCCCTCCAGCCCCTCCCGACCCAGCCCAGCCAAACGGGCGGACCTGTGTCCGACTCGGGGAGAGAGAGGTAGGCAGGAACGGGGGCCACTGCTCAGACGGGGGAGCTGACGCCCAGCAGTGACACTTGCCCAAAGTCCCACAGCAAGACCAGGGATGGGCCCTTCTTCAGAGGGCAGATGGAAGCAGTATCCCCATTGAACAGACAGAGAAGTCAAGGCTCCTCCTTGGAGGAGTGCCAGCCCCATGCCCATTCCTACCTCGGGTGGTGGACTCTCAGCGCCAAGCCCTCCTCTGCCCCAGGCGGGCGTGGAAGCTGCTTTATGAGGCTCCCTGGTGTGCAGGACCCACTGGAAGATGCGGGGAGCGGCAGGTTTGCTTGTGGTTGCAAGTGTTTTCCCTGCAAACACGGCCTGTGCCAAAGTGTCTCATCCCACTTGTGCGCTGGGGCTGCCACGTAGCCAGGACTGCCTGCCAACTACCCCGAGACCCTGGGGTTGGGTGGCTTTGGGGCCTCAAAGGCCAGGAGGTCTCTGGAAGGAGGGCTGCTCCCCCGAGGGTCCCCTCGTCACCCCAGCCAGGCCCTGCCAGGCCAGGAGGAAAGGGATGCCCAATGTCACGGGGACGGCTACAATAACCTGTCAGGCATGCTGCCTCAAGCTGTCCCAGAAACATGACCCTTTCGGGAGGGGCAGGAGGCTACCTGAGCCCCAACCCCAGTCATTGACTGAGCCCTGACCCTTGTCACAGGCTGAGCCCTGATCCTCATCAGACATTGAGTCCTAACTCAAAGGGCAACAGTCAAGGATGTGGATGATCCAGTCCCCACTACCTAACACCCAGCCTGTCTCCAAATGCACATCCCACTCCCAACAGACTTAGCCCATCCTCCCTTTCTGCATTAGTCTGTACGGTCTGTGCTCCACCTTGACTACATGAGACCCAAGGAACTGTGTGTGCACAGGAAGGAGTTTGTGTGCACATGTGTGTATGAGGGTTGTGTACACGTTTGTGTGTGTGGTTGTGTATTGCATAGTCATGGCTACACATGTGTATTAAGTCCTAATTACTGGCATCAGAGGAAAATGTGATTGTGTGTGAGTGTGCACATGAAATTGGCACATGGACATCTTGCTTTATGTTGTTCCACACCTGTTTACCCAAACCCACATGAGCGCAGGTATGGGGAGTCTTATGTACAGTCTATGTATGTGGGCTTATATACTGAGTGTCTGTGGCTGTGTGTGTATGGTGTTAGTTGCGTGTGTGTGTGTTTCTGGTAATGGGAGGTGTATATATGTTTGTGTGTGTGCATACACACATGCGCTGGAGGTGACGGCATGACTCCGGGGAAGGCCCCTCCGTTTCTCTGTATGGCTCACCTGGGCTACAGGCACAAGGGACCTCGGGGCCTTCCCCCACTCCAGAGCCCTCCATGACTCCCACTGACTCCACACCAGCCCACATACTAGGCTCAGAGCCCCGTGGGTCCCCACGAATGCCCACAGAGTTGACAGAGTCACAGACACCACCGATCTCTCCCCGGAGAGGCCAGACCTCACGTGGACCCGCCCTGCCTCCCAGCCAGTGCCCCCCTGCCCTATTCTCTCAGCAAAAAGGAATGAGAAGGGCCAGCCGCAGGCTCCCTGACATCCTCCTGCTGACCTCAGCCGGCCCACTGATGCCTAAGGCCAGCCCTCCTGGCCCTCACTGCAGCCGAAGCAAACAGCAGCCTCCGTGGAGAGGGGTGCAAATATTGACCAAAGCCACTCTCACTGTTTGCTCTTGTCATGAACGCTTCCTCTTCCTCGACATTTCCAACACAGGGGACATTGGGGGACAGACAGACACAAAGGATGGAGCTCTTGCCAGCCCCTCCTCCCTACAGCCATAGCAAGCGCGTGCGGTGGCACCTGCTTTGTGCAAGCTGTTCTGCCAGCCACCTGACCCTCCCCCCAGAGACGGGAGCTGGTTCCTCTCACCCCTGTAAGCCAGTGCCTGGAACTTACCAGAAGCTTAATAAATATTTGTTGAATGAATAAATGAATGGATGTACGATTGGAAGACCCTGGTAACAATGATAGGGGCAGCATTTCAGGGGCCCCCCCCTTCAGCAAATATTCTTGAGGGTCCATGTTCATTTCCTGTTGCTGCCATGGCAAATTACCACGGACTTAGTGACTGAAATCACAAATTTATTATCTTACGGTTCTGGAGGTCCTAAGTCCAAAATGGGTCTCCCTGGGCTAAAATCAAGGTATGGGCAGGGCTTTCTTCCTTTCTGGAGCTGCTGAAGAGGACCCACTTCTTTGCCTTCGTTCCTTGTCTCACGGCCCCTTCCTCCATCTTCGAAGCCAGCAGCCTGGGCTGCGTGCTCCCCACACTGTCATCTCTCTCCTCTCCTGCCTCCCTCTTCCACAAAGGACCCTTATCATTGCATCGGGCCCCCCTGAACAACCTAGGATATTCTCGAGGTCAGCTGACTAGCAACCTTAATCCCACCTGCAAGCTTTAATTCCCCTTTGTTGTGTAACCTGACATATTCGCATGGTCAGGTTTCAGTGTGGGGAGGCCTCTTTGGGGGGCAGTTAATTCTGCTAACCCCAGGGTCCTTGGCCTGCAATTTAAGCAACTGCCACCAGGGGGCAAAAGTGAGTTCATTTTAGCTTCCCGATCTAAAAGAGGTTCTCCACCCAACCGGGCTGACAAAAAACAGAGCCAGAACTTTCCACTCTGTTAGGCTTTTTGTTTTCCCTGGTAAAAATTAAACTTTTATTAAAACAACAACACAAATATTTTTTGTGTTATGCAAAATGTCCACTGAGAAGCTCAGCATTACAAAGTGTGTCCACGTGCGACATAGGAAGGTGGCAAATCCGGGAAGCTTGGAGCAGGAAGGGATCTGGGAGCCAAGAATGCATAGCCTGGGTATTGGAGCCTCAGCCCTCCTCCTTGCCCAGGCCCTGAGACCATGGCATGACCCTTCCTGTTTTGAGACATCAATTTCCCCATCTTTTCTTTTTTTTCCCCCTGAGGAAGATTCACCCTGAGCTAACATCTGTGCTAATCTTCCTCTGCTTTATATGTGGGTCGCTGCCACAGCACAGCTGACAAGTGGTGTAGGTCCACGCCCAGGACCCAAAGCAGAATTCAACCACTATGCTATGGACCCAGCCCCTCAATGTCCCCATCTTAAAAGTGGAAAGTTGGTCAGAATGGGTTCCTCTAAGGGGAAGTTCCAGGGCCAAGCTGGAGTCTGGGCAGAACCTCCCCACGCTCCCACCACCTGCTCTGTGAGGTCACAGTGCCCACAGCCTCGCTTGACCCGGGCAGATTCCATGCACCTTCCAGAGAACGCTAGGAGGTGGCAGCAGCCACGTCCCCCTCACCAACTCCCAGCGAGTCCCCCCCACGATTCCCCCGTCCTCGAGAAGGAAATTGATGCCACGGCACTCAAGGAGCCCCAGGGACCTGGGTGACCCACCCGAAGATGTGGCCCACACCTGCAGAGATGCCAGGCCCAGGAGGTGAGGACAGCAGCCCCTCCCTCTGCCTGGCCCTTTGTGGCTGACGAAATGCTGCCCCCCGCCCTCTCCTTGGAGGTGAGCGGGCACCTTCCAGAGGCAGCAACTGAGGTCAGAGAGATTTGACAGGGGCCTTCCTAAAGTCTCCCGGCCCGGAAGTCATCCTTTCAGCACGTGTTTATTGAGCAACAACTGTGCACTAGGCACTGAGCAGAGTTTGGGGAGCACAGTTGTTGCACCAGACAGACAGAGGTGCTCCTGCCCCCCTGGGGCTCACATCTAGTGAGGGAGACAGGCATCTCCGCCATCGATCTGTAGGAGGCCTCTGGTCACAGGCAATGGAAGTTCCAGCTCGAAATGATGCCTCGCTCTGGGCCCCTAGGCAGGATGGACATCCAAAGAGGGCATATAAAACAATCCACTGGGGTGAGGGGAGAGATTATTAAAACTTCAGTATATATTTTTCAGTCGATCCTCTTTTAATTTATATTCCTCAGGAATGTATAGATAAGTTTGTACCTTTGAATGGGTAAACAGTGTATCAGCACACTTGGATATATATATGGTATTATATATAATTTCTTAATAAATAAACATAGCATAAATACATTGAGAGGTATAATAAAAAATGTTTGGAGACCATTGCCTTAAGAAATATAGAAAATTTGTTGTCCCTTATACCAAGAGGTCCCAAGATGTGGGTGGCTCCAGAGCACGTTAATTCCACGGTTCTGCAATGTCACTTAAGACCCAGGTTCCTGCCATCTTCTTGCTCTTCCTTTGGCCTCATCTCACAATCACAAGATGGCCGCCACAGTTCCAGGCACCATGCAGAAGCATGGCTGTATAGGGTGGAAGGAGAGTGGGCCTGGCTTCCTGTGGGTCTCATTTTAACAACGAGAAAACCTTTCCCCCAGTCCTAGACCCCTGTACCCTCCCCCACCCCCTGCCCCTCACCCCTGCAGACTTCCCCATCCTTGAGCCAACCACAGCCAGGGGACTGGAGCATCACAACAGGCTTAGACCAATCAGGATTGTCTAAAATCATGGAAGGTAGGCACAGACAAGGGACCAAAATCAGCCTTCTGCCAGCAAGGGGAGGGAGTGGCTTTTGGGTGACAGCCACCTGTGACTGCCACAGCAAACTGAATCCTTTCCTCAAAATAGACTTGGATTTGGGGTCAGCCAGACCTGGGCCTATCCCCAGTTCACAGGTCTTGGGCTGCTGGTCTTGGGCAAATTTATCTACAGCTCAGTTTCTCAGCCTGGAGCTTGGGGACACCACGTTCCCCGTCAATTGTAAAATGCGATTGTGAATCTTGCCATCCCAGGGTCCTCCAACGAGGCAGGAACACCTGCAGGACGCCAGAGGAGCCCTCGCCAAACAGAAGTGAGCAGGGAGGGGAGAGGCGAGCCCTGGGATCTTCACGGGCAGCAAGGGGCTGAGGCTCAGAGACGTCAGATGGGTAACCCAGGGCCACCAGGCAAGGGGCTGGGCAGGAGCCAGGGATGCCTGGCACGAAGCTCTGGGTGCTCCCAGGTGTTTGCTGGCACCATGTCCCAGAGGCTGGCAGTGAGTGACAGCCCTGTGCTCTCTGCAGATGACTCCTTCCTGCTGCCCATCCGCATCAACGCCACAGCCCCGGGCCTGACTCAGTGCATGCTGGGATGTATGTGTATGTATATATTGAAGAGCTGTCTTGGCCATCAACAGGGGCCTGGGGAGAGGGCCCAGCCTCAGGCCGGGCTGGGTCTGTGGGGAAAGGCCTGTGCTGGGCTGCAGGGAAGGGAGGGAGCTGCAGGTGGAGCTCTGGAGATCTTCCCATCAGAGATGTCAGGGCCTCCTTCCAGCCAGGATCTCTTTAACAGGTGGAGAGAGGCAGTAGGAGGAAGATGCTGTTTGGAGGGGAGCTGGGTACCACCCTCCCCTGCTCTGCCACCAGCCTGGCCACTGGGGTCAGAGAGGTCACGGGAATGGTTTGGGGCAACTCACCCTCACTTCAGGGACATGGATCTGACCACGGCCTAAACATCAGTCTTTTACTTCTATGTTGCTCCACCCCCCCGCCCCCGCACTTATTCATCCTCTCTGTCATTTATCCAACCATCTGTCCACGTATCCATCTGTTGTGATATCCGTGCATCCCGTTAGTTCGTCCATCCATCCGTTCAGAGTCAGCCATCAATTCACCCATAGCTTTATTTGTTAATGTTCACATCCATCCCATCATCAACCCATCCATCCCTCTATCCATCCTCTCATTCTCCCACCCTCTCATCCATCTTCCTAGTCATCCAGCTTCCAAGCCATTCATTCTCTTACCCATTCTTCCATGCACCCATGAATCCTCCCACTCAGCCATCCCGAACCCCTACTTTTGACCTAGCTCCATGCTGGGCAACACTGGGCACCAGGGATAAGCCAGACGAGGACCTTGCCCTTGAGAAGTTCCCAGTGTCTGGGAATGGGCATTAGCACATCCCAGACTTTTCATGCTCCTGAGTCACTATTAAGTATCAATTAACTGCCAGTTGCAAGTAGTGCTCACCTGTAGGACCCATGCTCACTCCAAACGGCTCTTACCCATAAGCAGAGCAAGGGGCTGTCCTGGGCTCCACTAGCAAATTGATAGGGTCTCCCAGCAACAGAGTCTCACTCCCTGCAAGTGCTTGTAGGATAAGAATGAGGGTACAACTACCCACTGCTCTCCTGTCTCCTCCACAGCCTGGATCACCTGCCTGGCCTGCTTCCTGAGGACTCAGGCCCACCAAGTCCTGTTCAACACCTGCAGGTGAGCAGGGACAGGTGAGGGGAGGGTGATGGGGGCTGGGACCATGCAGCTGGTGACCATGGTAGCCCCCTCACTGGTTTAGACCTCCCTTTGATCACCAGATGAGTTACCCCAAACCTTGCTTTTACTAGATCCCCTCACCCCAGAACCCACTGTGGCTCCCCATTGCTCCAGCACCTGAGCTTGCAGCCCTCTGGAATCCTGCCCCACCCTTCCTTTCCAAGCTGCCCTCATTCTGCTTCCTGCTGTGGGCCCATTGGCTCAGCAAGGCTAGGGTTCTCCCTCCCTGGATCCCCCATTCCTATTCCCACCTCCACCCCTTTGTACACGCTGTTCTTCTGCCTGAATGCCTGTCCACCCTTTCTCTTTACCCTTCCCGACCAAGCAAATGCCTGTGAATTCCTGCAGAGCTTTCCAACTCATTCATTCACTTAAAGTTTACATTCTAAACATTTCCTGAATGCCTGCTCTGGGCTCAGCCTTGGCCCCCACCACCCACGAGCTCCCAGTGGCAAAGGCAGACACCAAAAAGTGCCAAGCTGGGAGTGTTGACTCTGAAGGTCGTAGGAGGAGGGGACATTTGAGCTAAACCCTAAAGGATGCATTCACCAGGAGAGAAGAGGGGAGGGGACAAACAGTGTGTAGATGGAGAAAGGGAGTGAGGAGGACCAGTGACCACTCTGAGCTGATCCCTGATGGCCCCAAGTGCTGGGGTAAGAGCTTTCTCTCCTCTGGGACACTGTGGAGCCACAGAACATGGTCAGCATCTTGGCGAGGTGTCACTGCCCAGAGAGGGACATGTCCTTCAGGGTGGGAGAGAGGAGAGGGCCAGGCCAGGATTTGCCAGCCTGTACAAAGCCCTGCCTTGCCTGGACCACTGCTTCTCTGTCTTCCAGATGCAAGCTGCTCTTCCAGAAGCTCATGGAAAAGACAGGTGTCCTGGTCCTCTGTGTTTTTGGTGCGTCTCCAGGGCCCTGCCCCATCCCAGGTGGAGGTACCCCTGGGCTCTCGCCCATCCTGGCACTGATCCTGCGACCCTGGGCAAGACACTGCCCCTCTATGAGCCTCAGTTCCCCCATCTGTCTAATGAGTGTTGCTGTGAGGATTAAATGAAATGACGGCCAGGAAAAATTTTTGAAAGCTAAGAAAAGCTTTGAAAACTGCAAAGCTCTCCCCAAACCATGTTGTGATAATTATTACTACCTCTTTCTGGGCTTCTGTGGCTTCCTTCCAGCCACCAGCGCCGCCTCCCACATCACAGCTTTACTTTCTCAAAGGACTCTCCTCCCTCCACTCAAGTGTACTCACCGGGGGTGATGCTAGGAAATTAGGGATTCCTAGGAAACTTAGCCCAGCAAATAAGCCTTTTTAAAATCACGGCTTTATTGAGATATAATTCACATACCATAAAGATCACCATTTTAAAGTGTATAATTCAGCAGTTTTTAGTATATTCACAAAGTTGTCCATCCGTCACCACCATCAAATTCCAGAATCTTCATTACCCCAAAAAGAAACTCCCCAGTCCCTGGCAGTCATTCCCCATTCCCCCCCGCCCAGATCTAGGCAACCACTAATCTATTTTCTGTCTCTATGGATTTGCCTGTTCTGGACATTTCATATAAATGGAATCATGTAATACGTGGTCTTTGTGGCTTCTTTCACTTAACGTAATATTTTCAAATTCATCGATGTTGCAGTATACATCAGCATTTCTTTCCTTTTTATGGCTGAAATTATCCCATTGTATGGTTATGCCACATTTTGTTTATCCATTCATCAGTTGATACATATTAGGGTTGTTTCTGCTTTTTGGCTATTATTAATAATGCCGCTATGAACATTTCTATTAAATTTTTGTGTGGACGCGTGTTTTCAATTCTCTTGGGTATATATCTAGGCATAGAGTTGCCAAGTCCTATGATAACTCTATGTTTAACTATCTGAGGAATTGTCAAACTTTTTTCCAAAGCAGCTGCACCATTTTACATTCCTACCAGTAATGTGCAAGGGTCCCAGTTTCTCCACATCCTCACCAACACTTGTTGTAATCAGTCTTATTTTAGCCATCCCAGTGGGGGTGAAGTGGTATCTCATTGTGGCTTTTATCTCATTTCCCTGGTGAATAATGATGTTGAGCATATTTTCACGTGCTTATTGGCCATTTGTGTATCTTCTTTGGAGAAAAGGCTGTTCAGATCTTTGCCCATTTTTAAATTGAGTGGTCTTTTTATTAATGTTATAAAAGTTCCTTATATAGTCTGGATACAAATCTCCTATCAGATATATGATTTGCAAATATTTTCTCTCATTCTTTCGGTCGTCTTTTCTCTTTCCTGATGGTGTCCTTTGCAGCACAAAATTTTTAAATTTTGATGAAGTCTAAGTTATCTAATTTATGTTTTCTTTCATCATTTTTGCTTTTGGTGTCACATCTAAGAAACAATTGCCTAACCCAAGGCCATGAAGATCTACTCCAAACTCCCATGTTTTCTTCTAAGATTTTTATAGTTTTAACCCTTACATTTAGGTCCATGATGCATTTTTTAGTTAATTTTTGCATATGGTGTGAGGTAAGGATCCAACTTCATTTTTTTAAATATAAACAACCAGCTGTTCCAGTACCATTTATTGAAAAGACTAGTCTTTCCCTGATTTAATTCTCTGGCACCCTTATTGAAAATCAGTTGACCATAAGTGTGAGGGCTGCTTTTTGGACTCTCAATTCTGTTCCATTGATATATGTGTTGATGTGTTTGCCAGTACCACCCTGGACTGATTGCTGTAGCTTTGTAGTAAGTTTTGAAATCTAGAAGTGTGCGTCCTCCAGCTTTGTTCTTTTTAAGATTGTTTTGACTATTATGGGTCCCTTATGGTTCAATATGAATTTTAGGGTCAACTTTTCCATTTCTGCAAAAAAAGGCCATTGGGATTTTGATAGGGATTGCATTGATATGTAGATGAATTTGGGGATTAGTGTCACCTTAACAATATTAATGGATCTTCCAATCCATGAACGTGGGCTGTCTTTCCATTATTGATAGGTATCTCTATGTCTTCGTTCTTTCAATGATGTTGTGGAGTGCAAGTTTTGCACTTCTTTTGTTAAATTTATTCCTAAGTATTTTATTCTTTGAGATGCTATTGTAAATGGAATTGTTTTCTTAATTTCATTTTCAGATGATTCATTGCTGGTGTTAAGAATTGTAATTGATTTCTGTATACTGATCTTGTATCCTGCAAACTTGAAGAACTTATTTATTATTTCTGACATTGCGCGAGACATCCAGTCTAGATACTTTAGGATTCTATATGCAAGATCGTGTCATCTGCCTCTTTTTTCTTGACTAATTAGCCTGGCTAGAACCTCCAGGACAATGTTTAATAGAAATGGCAAGAGCAGACACCCTTGTCTTGTTCTCAATCTTAGGAAGAACGCATGCAGCCTTTCACCCCTAAGTATGATGTTAGCTGTGGATTTTTCATAAACGGCCTCTATCAAATTGAGGAAGCTCTGTTCTATTCCTGATTTGTTGAGTGTTTTGTCAGGAGTAACAGGTTTTAAAGGCTTTTAATGATGGCTTCAAAGGTGGGATTTCAGGCAGCACGGAGATCATAAAATACAGCGGAGACCACCCCCTTTTCTTCTCTTTGCCAATTATCCCCAGCAGGATTGGGACAGGGAGGGAGAGGAAACATGGATTATTCAGTTTATGCGAGACACTTTGCATACATGAGATCTTTCCATTGTGAAGTGGATACTACCGTTACGCCCATTTTACAGAGGAGGAAACTGAGGCCTAGCGGGATTAAGTAACCTCTGCTAACGTTGCACTGTGCTGGTAGGTGGCAATGCCGGCACATGACTTAACTCCAGAGCCTAAGCCCTGAACCTTTCATCTTAAACGGCTCCTTCTCACTCTCTCGGCCCCGCAGGATTCTGGGTGTTTTCAGTGCACTTACCATCCCAAGTGCAAGTCTGGCAGGTGAGTGTGCTCTCTTCAGGCCCCACCACTGACTGGCCTCACCCCAACCAGTCAATGTTGTCTCCATAAACTCCTCTCATTGTCACCACATCTGGATCCTAATCGGTTCCGGACTCACCCCAGCTCCTAATCGCTGTCTTTGCCATGCCACTAGCCTGGACTCATCTGTCCTGCCAAAATGTGGCTCTCAAAGACCAAATGCAATAGTGCCTCCTCCAGGCACAGTGAGGACAGAGAACACGTTTCTCTCTCTACTCAAGGTAGTTTGCTCTTCTGCTCAAATGAGCTGAGACTATTTGCTTTGTGGTTCCTGGGGAGGAAGGAGGAGCAAATCAGTGGCCAGAGCTCCCTGTCTGAGGACAGCAAAGAGTCTCCAAAGCCTAGGGAGAAAGGGGATCTGATGGGTCTGTCCCTCCCTCTCCTCTTCTCCCCTTATGAACTCCTTCATCTCCTTCAAGATCCAGCTAAAATCTCACCAGCTCCAGAAACACTCAGGGATGGGTGGGCACATTCCCCTCTCTCTTCCCACAATTGTCTGCAATCATGAATGCAATCTTCTGCAGTTATGACTACTTCCCAAGCTGTACTGGGACCCCTTGAAGGCAAACCTCATTCTAGCAATATCCACCTCAGGGCCAGGCACAGGATTGCCACTATCAATGCTGGATGACTGGAAGGCCAGATGGGAGTGTGAATGGAGGGAGAATGGACGGAAGGGTGGAAGTGATGGATGTAGGAATGGGGGGAAATGGATGAGGGATAGATGGATGGACAAATGACAGAGTGTATGGATGAGAGAATGGATGGATGGGAGGGCAGATGGGATATATGAGTGGGTAAATGGATGGACAAGTGGATGGTTGAATGGGAGGGTAGATAGATGGGAGGGTGGATGGATTGATGAGAGGGTTGATGGGTAAGGTAAAGTAGGTGGGTGGGAGGGTAGATGGATGAGGAAGGTTGGATAAATAGAGGAATAAATGGATGGGAAAGGGTGGAAGGATGGGATAGTGGAGGGGTAGGAGGATAGATGAATGGGGAGGTAGATGGCTGGATAAAAAAGAGGGTAAATTGGATTTTGGATAGATGGTAGATGGGTGCGTGGATAGAACTGCAAATAGGAGGGGAGATGAATGGATGGATTTATGACTGTGGGAGACTAGATGGATGAAACTCTATTGGGCCAAGATTAGGCCATCTGAAGGCGATCCCTTGCTTTCCTCAACACCCTACCAGGATGACAGCATATCTACTCCACTGCAGAGCTTGAGGTAAGACAAATCTGCCAAATAGTCCTATTATCACCTAAAAACCAGAGCTATAGCCAGGACCTGGTATGTACTGACTAAGAATGTGGGCTCGGCAGTCAGACCAACCTGCATTTTAATCCAGCTCCCATACATCCTACCTGGTTAACTTTATGCAAATTCACTTCACCACTCTTGGCCTTTGACTCCTCATTTATGAGATAAGGCATAACACCTACCTCCCCTGGATAATTATGAGTATTAAAGAAGATGTAAACTGTCTTAAATAGTTCCTGGCCCATAGTTAGCACTCAGCAAATAGTAGCTGAGAAGACATTTTAACCAATAAGATACCACCTGGTGGCAACATCCTTATTGCAGACAAAATACTCAGGAATGTTCAGAAGGAATGAGCTGGGTTTAAGGATATTCCAAACAGGAGGAAGAGCACAAGCAATGCTTTAGAGATAAGAACCTGCTGAGTAGGCCCAGGAGTGTGGGAAAATGTGAAGCCAGTTCTCTGTGGGCTGACTGGCAAAGGCAGAAGCTGGGGGTAACAATAGCAGCATCACAAATCAGTCAGTCCATGTTCTCACTCCTTCCTCATTAGGATGTACCAGGAGAAGGTGCGACATCACACTGGGGAAATCCAGGACCTCCGAGGTAGCATGAACCAGCTCATTGCCAAGCTCCAGGAGATGGAAGCCATGTCAGATGAGGTGAGATGCTGGCCATGTGGCCCCCAAACACCTAACTTCTCTCTATGTTTGATGCCCTGTGTTCTATACCCAAAATTTGGGTAGAGCACATCCCCAATAACTTCCTGGAAAAGAGTGACATAAGAGGTATCTTTATTTTTTAGAACTTGCACGTTTGAAAATGTCTTTGTTCTACCCTGGCACTTGATGATAGTTTGGCTGGGTATAGAATGCTAGATAGGAAATAGTTTCCTCTGAGGATTTTGAAGAAAGTCCACTATTCTGTTCTAGTTTAAATTGTTGCTGTTGAGAAGTCTAAAGGCGCCCTTATTATTGGTCCTTTGAGTGTGGTCTGTTTTTTATTCCTGGGAGTCTGTAGTATACTCTTTTTGTCCCCACTGTTCTGCACTTAACCTTCTTGAGGGGTTGCTGAGCTTATTGAATCTATGGGTTGATGTTTTTCAATAATTTTGGAAAATTCTAAGCTATTATCTCTTATAAGATTCCTTTTTCCCCATTATCTGTCTCCTCTCCTGGAACAGCAGTTACATCTATGTGAGATCTTTAGAGTGTGTTCCACGTAATTCCTATGCTGTTACCTGGTTTGTTTTTCATTCTTTTTCTCTATGTGCCTGTTTAGATATTTTCTATTCACACTTCTTCAGGTTCACTAATACTCCTGTATTCTCTTCTGTCCAATCTACTGTTAAATCTTTCCATTAACTTCTTAATCTCATATACTACATTGTTTAGTTCTAGAATATACATTTGATTCTTTTTCATAGATTTTAAGTCTATTGTGGAACTCTACAACATTTTATCTGTCTTGTCCATCTTTTCCTTTATTTTATTTAACGTATTGGTCGTGATTATATTAAAAATCCTTATCTACTAAATCTACTATCTGGATCCTCTACGGTCTCTTTCTATTTCTGTCTTTTCTTTGGAATCATATCATATGGTCTTACCTCTTCATGTCTAGTAATTTTTTAGTGTTATCTGAACATTGTAGAGAAAAGAACTGTAGACACTCCAGATAATTATAACTTCTACCAGAGAGAGCTCCCCCTTCCTTTGTAAGGAAGATGAAGTACACTGATCACTTCTATGTAGATGTGCTTTGAGCTGGTTCTGACCTGGATGGCAATTTTTATCAGAGGTTTTCAGGTTAACCCTTTAGCCTCTTGCCTGTGCATCTTCAAAAATTTGGTAAATGTCTTGATGGAAAAGATTGACCACATGTTTGCAGCCTCTCAAGTCCCAGTTACGTCTCCCAGCCCTGCATGAGCGCAAAATCTCTGACCCCAGGGGCAGCCTTCTTGGCCGGGGGCAAGCTTGCATTCTCAGCCTCTAATTGGCCCATCCTTGGTTTGGTGCCCCCAGGGGAAGTGCAGCTGTAGCTACTCAGCACTGATCCAGCACTTCTTCTCGGACAGCTGTTCTCCAAGTGTGATCACCATACGGGCAGTATCAACATTACCTGGGAAAATGTTAGAAATTTAACTTAATGGACCCCACCCAGAACTACTGAATCATACACTTTGAAGATGGGAACCAACCATATGTGTTTCAGCAAGCCCTCCAGGTGATTCTGACACATACTAAGGAGAACCACTGTTCTAAGGCTTGACTCTCATGCTTGTTTTGTTTGGAGCCCGCTCCCTCAGAGGGACTTGGTTTCCTAAGCATTGTGAGGCTGGGAAGTTTTACTTTGCCTTTCAGGAGCTTTCAAAGCAGCTCTTTATCTTCTTACGTAGTCTTAAGTTTCAGTTAACATCTTATGGAGGAAACTGACCATATTTGAGGTCCCTCAAGTCCCCAGTTTCTTCCCTTTAGCCCTTGTGGCTGTTAAAAACGTTGCTGTTTTCTCTTTCACCAGTAGCAGCCCCTTCTCTGGCCTGTGCCCAGAGCCTCAGCCCACACCCAGAATCATCAAATGCTCCCAAGGGTTAAAAAAATTGTCAGCACATTTCAGAATCATTCTCCCCTCTCTAGACTTTTCGTCCATCTGGTCCTTGTTGCTTCCATAGCTCAGTGATGACTTTAGAATAGGATTTAGTAAACTCTCTGGCTTTTTGCAGTTGTTTTCAGTGGGGTCATTGGTCCTCTGCAGCTCACTGCATCTTACATGGAAGCCCTATGACTTGACCTTGCATCTGAAATGTCATGATAATATGCCGATGGGCTGGCCGCCCCTGGGGCCCTTTCAATCTGGAAACTCATGTCCTTTAGTCCCAGGACTTAATGTTCTTCAATCACGTGATTAGATGGGTTTCTTTCCCCCAGCTCTGGCTGCTCTGCTCTCATTTTTGAAACTCCTATTATTTGAATGTCAAACTCCTGAACTAATCCTCTGGGTTTTTTTCCTTTTCTCCCCATTTTCCTCTCTTCGTCCTTTTGTTCCACAGTTGGGAAAACATTCTCAGCTTTATCTTCCAAAACTTCTACTGAGTTTTTTCATTTCCACTAACATAGTCTGAATTCCTAAGAATTTTCTTTTTTTTGTGTGCTCTGGGTGTTCCTTTCCACAGAATTCTATTCTTGTTCATGGATGCAATATCTTTCCTTACCTTTTGGAGCTCAGCCAGGTCATCAACCTCTTTGAGCCTCAGTTTCCACATCAACAAATTAGAGTCATAATCACTGCCCTGGAACACCCTGGCTATTGTTCTAGTTCCTACTGCTGCATCACCAGCCATCCCAAAACTTAGTGATGCAAAACAACCATTGATTACACTCAGAGATTCTGTGGACCAGGAATTCACACAGGCCACAGCAGGGATGGTCTGTCACTGCTCCATGATGTCTGGGGCCTCAGCTGGGAAGACTTGAAGGCTGGGGGTGACTCGACAGCTGGGATTGGAATCATCTGGAGGTGTCCTCACTGACGTGTCTGGAGGTTAATGCTGGCTGTCAGCTGGGAGCTCAGAGCTGTGGACAAAGGCACCCACATGTGGCCTCTCCACGTAGTAGGGGCTTCCTCACAACATGGCGGCTGGCTTCCAAGAATGAGAGTCCCCAGAGAACCAGGCAGTGCCGTATCACCTTTGAGGACTTTGCCCAGAAGTCACACAGCATCCCTTGTGCCATAGTCACAGGCCCGCTCAGACTGATGGGGAGAGAAGAGCGTCAAAGTCACATTGAAAGTAGAGCATGGAGTAGGAGACCTTGTCATAGCCATTTTTGGAAAATATGACCTGCCACAGCTGTGAGGAGTCCAGTAAAAATAACAGCCGGCATTTACCGAGCACCGCCTGTGCTCGGTGCTGGGCAGCAGACCACAGCGGCTGAGAGCATGAACTCCGGAACTGAACTCCCTGCTCTGCCTCTAACCTGCTGTGTGACCTTGGACAAGTTTCCCTTCTGTGACTCAGTATTCTCATCTTTAAAATGGGGATGATGATAGTCCATACCTCCTAGGGTTGCTGCGAAGGGATAAGAGTGAACACAAGTGGAGCCGAGGACAGTCCTGGCACACAGGAGCGGCTTTGCAAGTCTTAGCTCTAATCCTCACAACAGTGGGAGGGAGACGTGACTATCGTCCCCGTCTTACAGACAAGGAAATCGAGTCAGAGGGGAGTCACCCCCCCCAGAGCCCCACAGCAGCAAAGGTCCGTCTGACTCCAGGCCCCTTGCTCGTAACTTCACTGAGAGCCCTGGTCCCACGGGTGACACCCTGTCACGGTGGATGTGAAGCACTGAGTAAACCCGGTGGGTGGGGTGGGAGCGGCACTGGGTCCCTTGGGCTTCCTCACAGTGTAGTGACTGGTGGTCCTGTGCATGGACCAGCCACGGCTTCCACAGGCTGGGGTAAGCAGTTAGGGACAAGAGGGTGCCCCGCAGCCACCTGTCACCTGGTGTGAACACACGTGTGCACGGTGATCTGTAAGAATGTACCAGGGCACAGCTTGTGTCTTCTGCCTTTTCAGCAAAAAATGGCCCAGAAAATAATGAAGATGATACAAGGAGATTACATCGAAAAGCCGGACTTTGCCCTAAAGTCTATAGGTAAGTGACTCCCCAGTCACCCTCTGGCCCACCTCAAGTTCCTCAGAAACTTCAGAGGGTAGATTCCCCTTCTGGTCCGGTGCACCCTCGCTGCCGGGAAGTTCGTCCTCGGAGCTGACCTCTGCTCCGCAGCTGATTTCCTTACTGCAGATTCTGTTTTCTCTAACGGGGGCTGGGATGCACAGGGAGAGGTGGGACAAGGACATGCCAATCCCAGGCCCTCCACTGACCCTCCACCCACCCACCCGCCGTCCTCCAGACCCAGAGGTCAGCAGGGCTGGCCCTGTGCCGGGCGGAGGAGACTGACCAGTAAGCAAACCAACAGGCCCCATAACAATCGGGAATCGGTGCTTCAGAAAAGTAAGGCACGTGGCTGGGATAGAGGCGACCCGGGCAGCAGCGTGGGGAGGACGCTTGGGTTGAGACCCGGTGAGGAGGGAGCCGCCGTGAAGGTGCCCCTGTGAGGGTGAGGACAGAGCGGGAGTGAGACAGGGACCCAGGGAGGAGGCGAGGTGGGCTGACCCGGCGCCCCCTCTGCTTAACGAGATGTGGGGTCAGAGGCTGTCAGCTCAGCCTCTCAGGGCCAGAGCCCCTCCTCTGTGAAACGGGTACAGAAACGGCCCTAGCAGTCACACCGAGGCCGACATAAGGGAGCGCTCGCTCCGCGCAGGCACTGCTGGAAAACGCTTCAGTGCATTAACTCATTTCAACCTCACAACCGCCCTGGGAAGTGGATGCGATCATTCGTACTATTATTGTTACTGTTATGACTCCCATTTCTCAGTGGGGAACACTGAGGGCCAGAGAGGGCCAATGACTCGTCCGCAGCGCTCGCCCGGCACGTAGTCCGCGCCCCATCAGTGCGGTTCCCCTCCTCCAGGCAGCAGCCTGGACTGCTCGGCTGACGCCCGCCTCCTCCCACGCAGGGGCCTCCATCGACTTCGAGCAAACGTCAGCCACGTACAACCACGACAAGGCTCGCTCCTACTGGAACTGGATCCGGCTGTGGAACTACGCGCAGCCGCCGGACGTGATCCTGGAGGCAGGGGGAAGGGCGGGCCGCGGGCGGAGCGGCAGGGGTGTGGCTGGGGGTCTGCGGGTGGGCGCTCAGAGCAGAGGTCTGAGTGAGAGCAAAGGGAGTCGGGTGTGGGGCGGGGTAGGGGTGGGAGCGGGAGACAAGGCGGGTCAGGGGGCGGAGGAAGTGTGGGGGGGTGGGGAGAAGTCAGGCGGCAAGGGCAGGAGGGGAGGACAGCAGGGACCACTTGGGGCTGGGCAGAAACGGGACAGGCACAGGGACGGGCACGGGGCAGGGATGGCCTGCTTTGGCACTGGAAGGGCACCTCCCCGACGCAGCCCTGGAGACCCGACAGTCAGGGAACCCTCGGCCCCAGCAGGACCCAGCCCTCAGAGCTGAGGGGAAGACTCATCCTTGCTTCCGGAAGTCAGGGGCGCTTCCTGGAGGTGGTGGCGCGAGAGCCAGGCTTTGTAGACAGGAAGGACCCGTCTCATCCAGAAGGCCGAGGAGGTCTAGGGGGGCCAGGGCGGGATGAGGAACCTGCCCTCCCCCACCCACCCAGCACAGCCCCCCTTGCACCTGCCCCTTCCAGCCCAACGTGACACCTGGCAACTGCTGGGCTTTCTCGGGTGACCGTGGCCAGGTGACCATCCAGCTGGCCCAGAAGGTCTACCTGAGCAACCTGACGCTGCAGCACATCCCCAGGACTATCTCCCTGTCGGGCAGCCTGGACACGGCACCCAAGGACTTCGTCATCTACGTGAGCGCCCCGGCAGGGCCGTGCTTAGCTAAGGGGACAGCCTCGTCGTGGCGGGGCTACAGGCACTGTGACAAAATGTCAGTACAACTCATGCAGGCCAGAGGGGCTGGATGAGGCTTTGTTAAGACTGGGAATGGCCAGGGCCAGGGATAGCAGATAAACGGATAAACCGCTTCTCTGTTTCAACCCAAGCTTTTCAGAGCCTATGTAATCTTCAGAGACCCTTGAGCCCCCATTTTACCGATAAGGAAGCTGAGGTCCAGAGAAGGGTCAGGGAAACACCCAAATCCTACAAGTCAATGGCAAAGTTAGAAGTGGACCCTCAGCCTTCTGACTCCCAGTCCCAGGCTCTTTCCTATCCATTACTCTGTGCTGTGATGGAACGGTGCCCAAAGAGGTAGGGAGGTGCCCATCCTGGGAGGTGTGCAAGTGCAGAGGGGAGACACCCACTGCAGGCCCTGCCTGCACCTGATGCTTCCTCCTTGGCTCTGATTCTGCAGGGCATGGAAGGCTCCCCCCGGGAAGAGGTGTTCCTGGGGGCGTTCCAGTTTCAGCCAGAAAACATCATTCAGACGTTCCAGCTCCAGGTACCTGAGAAACGCTGCCCATGCTGAGCACCTGCTGAATGCACACTGTGTGCAGGGCTTTACCCAGGGGACCCCACTTCATCCCCCAACAGCCCCAGGAGGAGCACAATTGTCACTAACCCACTTGACAGATGAGAAAACTGAGGCTCAGGGTGATGGACCTGCTGCCCAGGGCTGAGAGAGGACCCTGAGGAGATCCATCCGGCCTCTGGCAGTCCCCCATCTTCCCGGACTTCCCAGGAGCCCTCCACGGCATCTCCTCCTGGGGAGAGCAGATGTTGAACGGGACAGGCCCAGTGGGCCAGGGATGCAGGGATGCTGGTCTCCACACTGGAGGCCCCATCATCAGCACCTGGTCCAACCTAAAACGAAGACCAGGAGTTGAGGACAGAAGCAAGACAGGAGAGGTGGTTGCCGGAACACCCCTGAGACGTGGTGGCATGTCTAGGCTTGAGTATCAGGCCGACAGTGGCCTGAATCCTGACCCAACCACAAATTCTGTGTGATCTGGGGCCATGCCCTGCCTCTTTGGGCCTCAGTTTCCTCTTCTGTTAATCCCTGGGAGGTTAAGACCATCCAGGAGACCTTGAAGGCCAAAGCCCCGCTTGTGGCACTGGGCAGGGAGCATAAAAACACGGGCTCCATCCCCTTTCGAGGAGCAGGGAGGGGGAGGCCGTACTTAGGGAGCATCCACTGTGTGCAGCCCCAAGCTCTCCTTTCATGCTCACAGCAACCCCGGGAAGTAGATATTACCACTGCCATCTCACAGAGGGGGAAACTGAAGCCCAGAGAGGGGCAGTAGTCTGCCTAGGGTCCCACAGCACATACATGCCAGGGCCCTAATGCTGGGACCCCCTTCCCAGTCGCAGCATGTCTGTGCTTCCAGCCTCAGCATCTCCCATCCTAGCCCCAGAGTATCAACTTGCTATGTGGCGTTGGGACAGTCCAGTCCCTTCTCTGAGCCTCAGTTTCCCCACCTGTGAAATGGGTCCCTTCCACTCAGAAACGCCCCTCTGGACAGGCCGAGTGGAGGCCTCTAGGTGAGCTGCCCCATGTCTGCGACTCTCTTCCAGAACCAGCCTGCTCGGACTTTCGACGCAGTCAAGGTGAAGATATCAAGCAACTGGGGGAACCCGCGCTTCACCTGCCTGTACCGCGTGCGAGTGCACGGCTCTGTGACGCCCCCCAGAGAGCAGCCCAGCTAGAGCCCCTGCCCCGGGAGAGATTAAAGTTTATTCTTCACGCCCCGGCCCGAGTCTGTGTGTCTTTGGCCCCAAAGAGTGCAGGTGGGCTAGCATTTGACAGCTGAGCAATTAGGCATCACAATGATTGATGCTGGGCGCCCTGGCGCCCTCACAGCAGCCCCATGAGGCCCCATTTCACAAGGGACAGTGAAGGCTACAAGCAACAGGATGACTCACCAGAGGTCCCAGCCAGCAAAGGGCAGCACCAGGATTCAAACCCAGGCAGTCTGACTGGCTTCCAGTTGAGCTCTGCCCCGACCCAGGTATAGCCTTGGGCAAGACCCCGCCCTCTCAGGGTCTCAGTCTCCCCATCTGTACCATGGGAACAGGATTATGGCTGTAGTATCAGATGAGACGGGAAATGGGAAGTCCCATTCCTGCCCACCTTGAAGTGTTTCAACATCATACAAATTACTGTATGGCATTAGGCAGGACACACACCCTCTCTGGACCTCCAAGTATAACGATTTCTATTCCATTTTGTGCATCAAAAAACAATATCAACAAAGTAAAAAGGCAACCCAGAGAATGGGAAAAAATATTTGCAAATCATATATCTGAGAAGGAATTAATATCCAGAATATATAGAGAACTCCTAAAACTCAACAAGAAAACAACCCAATCAAAAATAGGCAAAGGCCTTGAATAACTATTTCTTCAAAGAAGACACACAAATGGCCAATAAGCACATGAAAAGATGGTCAACATCACTGATCACTAAGGAAATGCAAATCAAAACCACAATGAGCTATCACCTCAGAGTCATTAGGATGGCCACTATAAAAAAAAAAAGAGCAGAAAATAGTGCTGACAAGGATGTGGAGAAATTGGAACCCTTGTGCACTATTGGTGGGAAAATAAAATGGTACAGTGCGGTGGAAAACAGTACGGCAGTTCAACAAAAAATGAAAACTAGAATTAGCATATGATCCAGCGATCCCACTTCTGGGGGTACACCCAAAAGAACTGAAAGCAGGATCTCAAAGAGATGTTTGTGCACCCACGTTCACAACAGCCAAAAGGCGGAAGCCACCCAAGTGCCCATGGATGAATAAACGGATAGAGAAAATGTGGTATAGACATACAATGGAATACTATTCAGCCTTAGAGCGGAAGGAAATTCTGACATATGGTGCAGCACTGATGAACCTTGAGGACACTGTGCTGAATGAAAGAAGCCAGCCGTAAAGACAAGATATGATTCCACTTACGTGAGATACTTAGACTAGTCAGTCCTCAGGGGCTGGGGCGGGGGAATGGGGAGTTAGTGTTCAGTGGGGACAGAGCCTCTGTTTTACAAAATGCAAAGGGTTATGGTCATAGATGGTGGTGATGGTTGCACAATGTTATGAATGTGTTTAATACCACTGAACTGTACACTTAAAAATGGTTACGACGTGGGCCGGCCCGGTGGCGCAGTGGGTAAGTGTGCACGTTCTGCTTCGGCGGCCCGGGATTCACCAGTTTGGATCCCGGGTGTGGACATGGCACCGCTCATCAAGCCATGCTGTGGCAGACGTCCCACATATAAAGTAGAGGAAGATGGGCACGGATGGTAGCTCAGGGCCAGTCTTCCTCAGGAGAAATAGGAGGATTGGCAGCAGATGTTAGCTGAGAGCTGATCTTCCTCAAAAAAAAAAAAAATGGTTAAGACGGTAAATTTTATATGTATTTTACCACAATAAACAAAATTGAAAGACGTTATAAAATACCTTAAATCTTGTAAAGGAGAAAATCTGGGAGACTTCAGAAACATTATAAGAAAACCTTATAAATTCTGATAGCACGTTTCGTGTCATTACTATTAGAAATGCAGGTGTAAATTGTTTTAAGTTTCTGTTCCCCAAACCTGTCACTCATATTTTGCGTGCGTAATCTTTGCTGAAGCTGAGTCCCACCTGTTCCAGTACTTACATGAGCGCTTACAGAATTGCTACAAAACAAGTCTCTACAGCCGGTATCTACAGTCACTCCATCCATGGAGCTCTCAGCACAGAACATGGCACCCAGTACGTGATGGGTAAATGGTCACCAAGGTTACTGTCGACCTCCAGCCCCAGGCAGGTGAGAGGAAGCCCAGTCCTCTGGGAGAGGGTGATGCCGCCCCTATGCAGGGCCCCAGAGTGGGGCAGACTGGCCAAGCCAGAAAAGGCCCAGGGACTGGAGGCTGCAAGGGAGGGAATTCATATGGGCAGGGCCACACAAGTGGAGACGCTGCCAAGGGTCCAGCTGGGCGTTAGAAGACCCGATAAATCAGAAATATGCTTGTCTCCCAGGAGGGCACCCTGGACAGGCCCCAGGGCTGCTGCAGAATTCGCCCCTCAGACCCTCCGCCAGGCTTCACCAGCCCCAGGGGGCCCTCCAGCACCTGGCCCCAGGGCCTGCCCTCCAATGGTCTCTATGGTGGGGCGGGCTTCAAGGAGTCACCTCATATTCCTGCCACTCCCACCCTCTCCCAGCAATCAGTGGACCTGGGAGCCACACACCTCTAGCCTGGCATTATTCCATAGTTTCATGTGACACATTCTTGTTATTAAAAAGCCAAACCATACAGAGATTTGATGAAAGCGACTCATGGACACCCCACTTCCTCCCCGGATGGCTCCTGGCCTCACTCCTCTAACTATTCCAGATGTTTTCTCCCCATCATCTGTCTTTTAACTTTGTTTAAAGTGTCTTTTGGGGGCCGGCCCGGTGGAGCAGTGGTTAAGTACGCATGTTCCACTTCTCACCGGCCCAGGGTTCGCCAGTTCGGATCCCAGGTACAGACGTGGCACCGCTTGGCATGCCATGCTGTGGTAGGTGTCCCACATATAAAGTAGAGGAAGATGGGCACGGATGTTAGCTCAGGGCCAGTCTTCCTCAGCAAAAAGAGAAGGACTGGCAGCAGATGTTAGCTCAGGGCTAATCTTCCTCAAAAAAAAAGAAATTAGTTAAAAATAAGTAAATAAATAAAGTGTCTTTTGTTCAACAGATATTTTTGAAAATTTTGTGTAGTTAAATCAGTCTTTTCCTTTATATCTGCTAAGTAGTGTACATTGTCAGGAAGGTTCCAAGATTATATAAATATAATTGCCCCGTTCCAAGATTATAGAAATATACTCCTATATTTTCTTCTACTAATTTTATAATATGCATACATAATATATTATAGATAATATATATATCTACACACCATGGATATTGATATAGATGGATGCTCTTCAGTGCTCACAGACAAGATTTGGATGTATAAAAGCTCTTTCATGCATCTGGAATTTATTTTTGTGCATGATGTGAGGTAGGGATTTATTTTAATTTTTGCTCAGTTACTACCCAAAGGCCATAATATGGTACCATTATGGAGTAGCCCCTCTTTCCCTGTAGCTTGGAAACACTGCAATGCCCAGCTCCTGGTCTCCGCACGCCACGGAGCCCCCGTCTCCTCCTGCACACACATCACGCTCTCTGACTTACTCTGGTTTTGGAATTGTGCTGGTTCGTGCTAGCGAGTCACCTCCTTTTATTGCTCTGTCTCCAGACGTTCTTGGCTGTTCTCATACACCTTCTCTTCCTGGCAAACTTTAGAATGAGTTTATCAAGTTGCGTTTTTTAACAGCTGAACTAGCACTGGTTTTACGGATTTGCATATGGAGAATAAATCTCTTGGCCACGTCAGCTCTTTCTTCCTGGAACATGGAACCTTCTCTCCATATCTTCAAGTTTTCCTTCAACATCTTGAGTAAAGTATCCCTTCTTCATATGATTTTCTTGCCAGACTCATTTTACCTGGATATTTTAGCAGTTTGGGGTGATTGTAAATGGAATCTTTACCCTCAGTGACATTTACTGTGGTCGCGGCTGCACAGGAAACTCCTGCTATGAGTGCCCGAGAGCCACTCATGAGGCACTTGCCCCTCCATAGTCTCCACTGTCTTGAGGGTGCAAGTAAATTCTCCCAGGTGTTCTGGGTGGACACTCACATCACCCACAAGCATTCCATGTTGCACAGGTGTGTTCACACCCGTCACCGCATCTCCTGCTCACTACGGGATGGAGCACTCCCCCAGACACAAGGAAACTGAGACATGGAGAGGTGGAGCCACTTCCCAGGGTCACAGGGTGGGTCGTGGTGGAGCCGAAACGACGACCCAGACCTGCCAGGCCCCAGAGTGCTTGCTCTCCCCCCCTACCCTTCCCACAGTCACTTCATTTTCCAACAGGTGCCCATGGACCCACAGTGGAAGCGTGAGTGGAGAGCAGGGTTCCCGGGCTCTGTCCCAGCTGCGCCCTGGAAGGCCGCCCGATGGCCCCACTCCTACCCCAGGGCCAGTGGGACAACCACGCAGACAACCCAGGGAAAGTGGCAGAGCCTGGCAGGCACTGCATCAACGGGGAGTCTTGCTCTCCATGAAGCACACACTGCACGCGGCTCAGCTCCCTGCCCGGGTTATCAGATGCCCCTTTATTCACCATGGGTCCCCCCTTCACCCACCCCATACATGTCCTCCAAACCCCCACAGCCCCTGTCCTCCAAGGTCAAGAGGCCCTGGGTGTTAGAGTTCACAGTGCACAGTGTCCCCTCTGCACAGAGAGACAGGCCGAGAGGGACCCGGTCTCACCCAAGGCCCACACAGAAAGCTCCTCAGCCCAGCAGGGGCAGGGCCTGCTCCCACCAAGGAGGGGCTCCTTTCTGGGGCAGCATCCTGCAAGAGAACAAAGGCAGCCCCTAGGCCTCATGCCCCCCACCCCTATTCCAGGTCCATAACGCCCAAGGCTGGCTGCCTGCCTGCCATTCAACCCACCTGCTGGCCTGGAGCAGAGCAGTGGGCGACCAGCCAGGGTGGGAGTCAGCTCTCTGCGGCGACCAAGACAGAACCGGAGGTACAGAATGCCAAAGCCCCTGCCAAGGCCCCCGGGGTGGCGCCACCAATAAGCCTGGCTCAAGCCCCAGGATTCTCACTAATCCCGCCGATCCCCAGACGCCAGGCCGGTAGGGCTGGGGCAGGCGGGTGGGGCCT